AATTCAAAAAAAATTCGAAAAAAAATCGGAAAAATTCGAGGCGCGGGGGCGATCCGGACGACGCTGCAGAAGGCGCAGCAGAAGGAGCGGGCGGGGCTCGCGAAGGGCGCGGGCGGGCGCGCGGGCGGGGCGGGGCGCGCGGGCGGGCGCGCGGGCGGGGGTCGCGAAGGGCGCGGGCGGGCGCGCGGGCGCGCGGGCGCGCGGGGCGGGGGTCGCGAAGGGGGGTCGTGGGGCGGGGGTACTGGTTGGGGGGTCAAGGGTGAGGTAGTCTCGAGGGCGAGGTCATGGTCAAAACCGGAAGTAACACCTAGGTGTGGAAAGGTGACCCTCCAGCCGCTGGTCCTAGACCGGAAGGGATGCCCCAGAGGTGGCCTAAACCGGAAGGGATGCTCCAGTGGAAGGCCCTAAACCGGAAGGGATGCCCCAGTGGAAATTTTCACTACTTATATATATATATATATATATATATATATATATATATATATATATATATGTATATATATATGTATATATATATATATATATATATATATATATATATTATATATATTTACATGACAATTTAAAGACTGCACAGAAAACAAACGAAAAAGAATGCAAGATTTGAAATAATGGCGCTAACAAGAAACTGTAGAGACCCTCAGTTTAAACAGACTATCATGTCAAGTGACTTTAAAGATATAACACTCACTCGCCATGAGTTTAAACCCCACCCGTTCCGTGTTTTTTAAACACTTTAGTTGTAAGTCTTCATTGTTTCTCTAATGTAGCTATAACGAGCCTTTAATAACTGGTTCTGAGAAAACTTCCACCAGTCCATGATGATTCTCTTGAAATAGCTTGTGCTCTCTAGCCTGGAATATTGCTGTACAGTAACGGCCCCTATTCAAGGCTGGCGACATGGCAGACCTGGAGAGTGTACAAAGAACTTTCACGGCACACATAAGTGTGATAAGGCACCTAAACTACTGGGAACAGTTGAATGTCCTTGATCTGTCTTCCCTGGAACGCAGGCGAGAGAGATATATGATAATATACGCTTGGAAGGTCCTCGAGGGATTGGTACCAAACCTGCACACGAAAATCACTCCCTATGAAAGCAAAAGACTCGGCAGAAGATGCAACATTCCCCCGATGAAAAGCAGGGGCGCCACGAGTACACTGAGAAACAACACAATAAGTGTCCGGGGCCCAAGACTGTACAACTGCCTCAAAGCATACATAAAGGGGATTACCAATAGACCCCTGGCTGTCTTCAAAAAGGCACTGGACAGACACCTAAAGTCAGTGCCTGACCAACCGGGCTGTGATTCGTACGTCAGCTTGCGTACGGCCAGCAGTAAAAGCCTGGTTGATCAGACCCTGATCCACCATGAGGCCTGGTCTCAGACCGGGCCGCGGGGGCGTTGACCCCCGAAACCCTCTTCAGGTAAACTCCAGGGGGTTGCAACGTCAATTTATAATACCGATCTTAATCTTATAGATGTGTTGTTGGTGGAAGTTGTTAGTGAAGAGGAGTCTGGCAACGATGTGCTGAGATAAGAACATCCTGGGAGGCAGTCACTGACGCTGCCTTCCCTTATAACCTTACATGGTGAGAGGCAGTCACTGACGCTGCCTTCCCTTATAACCTTACATGGTGAGAGGCAGTCACTGACGCTGCCTTCCCTTATAACCTTACATGGTAAGAGGCAGTCACTGACGCTGCCTTCCCTTATAACCTTACATGGTAAGAGGCAGTCACTGATGCTGCCTTCCCTTGTAACCTTACATGGTGAGAGGCAGTCACTGACGCTGCCTTCCCTTATAACCTTACATGGTGAGAGGCAGTCGCTGACGCTGCCTTCCCTTATAACCTTACATGGTGAAAGGCAGACACTGACGCTGCCTTCCCTTATGTAACCTTATTATTGTGGGAGGCAGTTACTGACGCTGCCTTCCCTTATAACCTTACATGGTGAGAGGCAGTCACTGACGCTGCCTTCCCTTATAACCTTACATGGTGAGAGGCAGTCACTGACGCTGCCTTCCCTTATAACCTTACATGGTGAGAGGCAGACACTGACGCTGCCTTCCCTTATGTAACCTTATTATTGTGGGAGGCAGTTACTGACGCTGCCTTCCCTTATAACCTTTCCATTGTGAGAGGCAGTCACTGACGCTGCCTTCCCTCATAACCTTTCCATTGTGAGAGGCAGTCACTGACGCTGCCTTCCCTCATAACCTTACCATTGTGAGAGGCAGTCACTGACGCTGCCTTCCCTCATAACCTTACCATTGTGAGAGGTAGTCGCTGACGCTGCCTTCCCTCATATCCTTACCATTGTGAGAGGCAGTCACTGACGCTGCCTTCCCTCATAACCTTACCATTGTGAGAGGCAGTCACTGACGCTGCCTTCCTTGATATCCTTATCATTGTGAGAGGCAGTCAGTGACGCTGCCTTCCTTGATATCCTTATCATTGTGAGAGGCAGTCACTGACGCTGCCTTCCCTCATATCCTTACCATTGTGAGAGGCAGTCACTGACGCTGCCTTCCCTCATATCCTTACCATTGTGAGAGGCAGTCACTGACGCTGCCTTCCCTCATAACCTTACCATTGTGAGAGGCAGTCACTGACGCTGCCTTCCCTCATATCCTTACCATTGTGAGAGGCAGTCACTGATGCTGCCTTCCCTCATAACCCTACCATTGTGAGAGGCAGTCACTGACGCTGCCTTCCCTCATAACCTTACCATTGTGAGAGGCAGTCACTGACGCTGCCTTCCCTCATATCCTTACCATTGTGAGAGGCAGTCACTGACGCTGCCTTCCTCATAACCTTACCATTGTGAGAGGCAGTCACTGACGCTGCCTTCCCTCATATCCTTACCATTGTGAGAGGCAGTCACTGACGCTGCCTTCCCTCATAACCTTACCATTGTGAGAGGCAGTCACTGATGCTGCCTTCCCTCATAACCTTACCATTGTGAGAGGCAGTCACTGACGCTGCCTTCCCTCATAACCTTACCATTGTGAGAGGCAGTCACTGACGCTGCCTTCCTTTATATCCTTACCATTGTGAGAGGCAGTCACTGACGCTGCCTTCCCTCATATCCTTACCATTGTGAGAGGCAGTCACTGACGCTGCCTTCCCTCATAACCTTACCATTGTGAGAGGCAGTCACTGACGCTGCCTTCCCTCATATCCTTAGCATTGTGAGAGGCAGTCACTGACGCTGCCTTCCCTCATAAACCTACCATTGTGAGAGGCAGTCACTGATGCTGCTTTCCCTCATAACCTTACCATTGTGAGAGGCAGTCACTGACGCTGCCTTCCCTCATAACCCTACCATTGTGAGAGGCAGTCACTGATGCTGCCTTCCCTCATAACCCTACCATTGTGAGAGGCAGTCACTGACGCTGCCTTCCCTCATAACCTTACCATTGTGAGAGGCAGTCACTGACGCTACCTTCCCTCATAACCCTACCATTGTGAGAGGCAGTCATTGATGATGCCTTCCCTCATAACCTTACCATTGTGAGAGGCAGTCACTGATGCTGCCTTCCCTCATAACCCTACCATTGTGAGAGGCAGTCACTGACGCTGCCTTCCCTCATAACCTTACCATTGTGAGAGGCAGTCACTGACGCTGCCTTCCCTCATATCCTTACCATTGTGAGAGGCAGTCACTGATGCTGCCTTCCCTCATAACCTTACCATTGTGAGAGGCAGTCACTGACGCTGCCTTCCCTCATAACCTTACCATTGTGAGAGGCAGTCACTGATGCTGCCTTCCCTCATATCCTTACCATTGTGAGAGGCAATCACTGATGCTGCCTTCCCTCATAACCTTACCATTGTGAGAGGCAGTCACTGATGCTGCCTTCCCTCATATCCTTACCATTGTGAGAGGCAGTCACTGATGCTGCCTTCCCTCATAACCCTACCATTATGAGAGGCAGTCACTGATGCTGCCTTCCCTCATAACCTTACCATTGTGAGAGGCAGTCACTGATGCTGCCTTCCCTCATATCCTTACCATTGTGAGAGGCAGTCACTGATGCTGCCTTCCCTCATAACCTTACCATTGTGAGAGGCAGTCACTGATGCTGCCTTCCCTCATAACCTTACCATTGTGAGAGGCAGTCACTGATGCTGCCTTCCCTCATAACCCTACCATTGTGAGAGGCAGTCACTGATGCTGCCTTCCCTCATAACCTTACCATTGTGAGAGGCAGTCACTGATGCTGCCTTCCCTCATAACCTTTCCATTGTGAGAGGCAGTCACTGACGCTGCCTTCCCTCATATCCTTACCATTGTGAGAAGCAGTCACTGATGCTGCTTCCCTCATAACCTTACCATTGTGAGAGGCAGTCACTGATTGCTGCCTTCCCTCATATACCTTACCATTGTGAGAGGCAGTCACTGACGCTGCCTTCCCTCATATCCTTACCATTGTGAGAGGCAGTCACTGATGCTGCCTTCCCTCATAACCTTACCATTGTGAGAGGCAGTCACTGATGCTGCCTTCCCTCATAACCTTTCCATTGTGAGAGGCAGTCACTGACGCTGCCTTCCCTCATATCCTTACCATTGTGAGAGGCAGTCACTGATGCTGCCTTCCCTCATAACCTTACCATTGTGAGAGGCAGTTCATGATGCTGCCTTCCTTTATATCCTTACCATTGTGAGAGGCAGTCACTGATGCTGCCTTCCCTCATAACCTTACCATTGTGAGAGGCAGTCACTGATGCTGCCTTCCTTTATATCCTTACCATTGTGAGAGGCAGTCACTGACGCTGCCTTCCCTCATAACCTTACCATTGTGAGAGGCAGTCACTGATCCTGCCTTCCCTCATAACCTTACCATTGTGAGAGGCAGTCACTGATGCTGCCTTCCCTCATAACCTTACCATTGTGAGAGGCAGTCACTGACGCTGCCTTCCCTCATAACCTTACCATTGTGAGAGGCAGTCACTGATCCTGCCTTCCCTCATAACCTTACCATTGTGAGAGGCAGTCACTGATGCTGCCTTCCCTCATAACCTTACCATTGTGAGAGGCAGTCACTGACGCTGCCTTCCCTCATAACCTTGCCATTGTGAGAGGCAGTCACTGATGCTGCCTTCCCTCATAACCCTACCATTGTGAGAGGCAGTCACTGACGCTCCCTCATATCCTTACCATTGTGAGAGGCAGTCACTGACGCTGCCTTCCCTCATAACCTTACCATTGTGAGAGGCAGTCACTGACGCTGCCTTCCCTCATAACCTTACCATTGTGAGAGGCAGTCACTGACGCTGCCTTCCCTTATAACCTTACCATTGTGAGAGGCAGTCACTGACGCTGCCTTCCCTCATAACCTTACCATTGTGAGAGGCAGTCACTGATGCTGCCTTCCCTCATAACCCTACCATTGTGAGAGGCAGTCACTGACGCTGCCTTCCCTCATAACCTTACCATTGTGAGAGGCAGTCACTGACGCTGCCTTCCGTCATAACCCTACCATTGTGAGAGGCAGTCACTGACGCTGCCTTCCCTCATAACCTTACCATTGTGAGAGGCAGTCACTGACGCTGCCTTCCCTCATAACCTTACCATTGTGAGAGGCAGTCACTGACGCTGCCTTCCGTCATAACCCTACCATTGTGAGAGGCAGTCACTGACGCTGCCTTCCCTCATAACCTTACCATTGTGAGAGGCAGTCACTGATGCTGCCTTCCCTCATAACCTTACCATTGTGAGAGGCAGTCACTGATGCTGCCTTCCCTCATAACCTTACCATTGTGAGAGGCAGTCACTGATGCTGCCTTCCCTCATAACCTTACCATTGTGAGAGGCAGTCACTGACGCTGCCTTCCGTCATAACCCTACCATTGTGAGAGGCAGTCACTGACGCTGCCTTCCCTCATAACCTTACCATTGTGAGAGGCAGTCACTGACGCTGCCTTCCCTCATAACCTTACCATGTGAGAGGCAGTCACTGATGCTGCCTTCCCTCATAACCTTACCATTGTGAGAGGCAGTCACTGACGCTGCCTTCCCTCATAACCTTACCATTGTGAGAGGCAGTCACTGACGCTGCCTTCCCTTATAACCTTACCATTGTGAGAGGCAGTCACTGATGCTGCCTTCCCTCATAACCTTACCATTGTGAGAGGCAGTCACTGACGCTGCCTTCCCTCATAACCTTACCATTGTGAGAGGCAGTCACTGACGCTGCCTTCCCTCATAACCTTACCATGTGAGAGGCAGTCACTGATGCTGCCTTCCCTCATAACCTTACCATTGTGAGAGGCAGTCACTGACGCTGCCTTCCGTCATAACCCTACCATTGTGAGAGGCAGTCACTGACGCTGCCTTCCTCATAAACCTTACCATTGTGAGAGGCAGTCACTGATGCTGCCTTCCCTCATAACCTTACCATTGTGAGAGGCAGTCACTGACGCTGCCTTCCCTCATAACCTTACCATTGTGAGAGGCAGTCACTGATGCTGCCTTTCACCTCATAACCTTACCATTGTGAGAGGCAGTCACTGATGCTGCCTTCCCTCATAACCTTACCATTGTGAGAGGCAGTCACTGACGCTGCCTTCCCTCATAACCTTACATTGTGAGAGGCAGTCACTGATGCTGCCTTCCTCATAACCTTACCATTGTGAGAGGCAGTCACTGATGCTGTCTTCCCTCATAACCTACATTGTGAGAGGCAGTCACTGATGCTGCCTTCCCTCATAACCTTACCATTGTGAGAGGCAGTCACTGACGCTGCCTTCCCTCATAACCTTACCATTGTGAGAGGCAGTCACTGATGCTGCTTCCTCATAACCTTACCATTGTGAGAGGCAGTCACTGATGCTGCCTTCCCTCATAACCTTACCATTGTGAGAGGCAGTCACTGACGCTGCCTTCCCTCATAACCTTACCATTGTGAGAGGCAGTCACTGATGCTGCCTTCCCTCATAACCTTACCATTGTGAGAGGCAGTCACTGATGCTGTCTTCCCTCGTCACATTATTATTGTCGCAACTGCTATATTTATAAGTTTTCTCTAATGCGACGACTCATCTTGAAAACATAATTTGGCCTATTTCACATTATATATTGCTTAGTTGGTAGCGCACTCACCTCACACAGTGTCCGGGGTTTGATACCCTGTACGGGTGGAAACACTGGGGGTGTTTTCTTAAGACACCTGCTGTTCATGTTCACCTAGCAGCAAGTAGGTACCTGGGTGTTAGTCAACTGGTGTGGGCCGCATCATGGGGACAAAATTATCCTAATTTGCCCGAAATGTTTTGCATAACCAACTAGGCCTATAAAATTTGCATTATGTAGGTTATTGTAGAAATACTACTACTACCACTACAACCACTAACAAATAATAATAATAATAATAATAATAATAATAATAATAATAATAATAATAATAATAATAATAATAATAATAATAATAATAATAATAATAATAATTATTATTATTATTATTATTATTATTATTATTATTATTATTATTATTATTATTATTATTATTATTATTATTATTATTATTATTATTATTATAGGTAAGCATTGGCTTGTTTTGAAATACAATTTGAGTTCTTGTGGTTCTAAGCTGAACGTTACATTTTACTGATAAGATGAACAACGCAGTGTTACCATCATTCCCTACATGTGGGTTGCACTACATTTCACGACGCTGTAAACCCGCGTGGGAGACCACCACTCGTCTGTGGCCAGTCACAAATTTTGTCAACGATGGATCTCTCAACATTCTAATGGCTCCATGAACACTGCTGAAGAATTAGACTCATGTACTCATGTATTTGGGAAGTACAGTACCTGTACTCTGAAGGTTATATTATAACCAGGTTGGTCACTAGATCTTGACGCAGATAACAAATGATAAATGAATTTTGTTTTGTATTATTTAACGCTTTATTATAATTCTCATCCACATTTTTACGATTTTGCTTCTTAATTTTATTCATTATATGCGTGAAATCTAATGAGCATGTCCTCACAGATGCTTCGCTACGGCTACGCTGCTGCACCGTGGAGCTACGATGGCGTGCTCCTCCATCCCGGCTGCTGCAAAGCGCAGTTCAGAAGAGGAATCGAAATTGCCTTCAAGCCGTACCCGATGCCAATGTTAGGTAAGTAGTAGGCAAACAGAGTCTAAGGAATCATATAATAAGCGCCGTTAAAATCTTTGAATAATATGAAAAAAATCTGTTTGTGTTGTCCCTGGACCCATTATGTGCTTCTGATCAGGTGTAGATGTGTGATCAGGTGTAGATGTGTGATCAGGTGTAGATGTGTGATCAGGTGTAGATGTGTGATCAGGTGTAGATGTGTGATCAGGTATAGATCAGGTATCAAAACTCTGCGACCCAGTCCCTGGACCCATTTTGCACCTCTGTAATATTTTTGACTACCGCGCACAGGATGGTTATGAGGTGCATAATAACGATATTAAACTAACTGATGCTTACACGAACATTTTTCATTTTGTTTTGTCTGGCACTGCAGAAGAATGGCAGTTCCCAGTGACACTGAACTACGAGACGCAACAACAACTGGAACTTCAGGCCAAGGGCACTCTTATATTAATGTGCTGTAAGCTCACTTTCCTGGTGGACGACGGTAGTTCATGCGAGTGGAACCTAACTGCTATCAGGAAGTTCGGCTACACTAGCAACAACTTCCACTTCGAGGCTGGTCGCAAGTCCTCAACTGGCGAAGGCATGCGTACCTTTCTTACTGACAAGGTGCGTAGAGTCAGGGGCCTCTTAATGCCATGAAATAAGTAAATAAACAAATAAATTAATAATTGCATGCTACACATACACACACACACACATTATATGTATATGTGTGTATATATGCAGGTGCTTACATAATTTTATATTTTGCCGCAATAGAATTTATGACCACCCTGCACTATTTCTTTAGCGTGCACTGAGGTAACGAGGGATACGGTGATAGAAACACATTAGTTTTTTCCTGAGCTCGTCTCTTCAAGGGAAGGATTGGGGAGGGGTGTCCTTGATGCTTATGAAGGACTCTTGATCTAAGAAATTGGAGCTATATTCCCTTTTCTCGGTTCAGACCTGATTACTTACCATTCTCCAGGCGCCGTATGACCTTCACGAGTTTAGCGCTTCCCTATAATAATGTGGTGGTGCCTTTAAAGTCAAATGTTAATGAAGATAAATTGTGAACATTCAAATGGTATAAAATACCGACAGGTTGTTAGGTAAGACACATATGCAGCAGTTAGGTATCTTTATTTCGAAATAAAGATACCTAACTGTTGCATATTTGTCTTACCTAACAAGATAAATTGTTTTCCCAATAATTCAAGGAAATGATTGAGAGGTCTCTGAATTGTTCCCCTTAATCTTAAAATTACAAATGTTCTTAGGGTGGTCATACACTATTATTAAAGATTCTTCTGCCCCTTGAACAGGGTAAATGCATACACGGACGCGTCCTGCAGATTAAGGAGTACTACCAGTTTGATCTTCTGTGTCAGCGAGGTGTGTCCCCAGAGCAAATAATGCAGCAGGTTCTGAGTTCTAAGAAAGAGCGAGATGAAGGCACACTAGGTCGAAGTCGTGGCTTTGGGAAAAAGGTCAGTGGATGAGAGTGTTGGTAAAAATCTGAGTCTGGGAAGAGAATGTAAACAGTGCCATTTTGTACAAGTGTATAATGGAATGCCAGACAGAGTTACACAGTCACTTAGTTAATTCATGTCGGATTACGACCGCAGGAGTATAGCTATTGTTGTTATGTTGTACAGTAGCTACGGGTAAGTGGAACACAAAATGGCAGTATTAAGTTGATAAACCTTAAAAGTGAATTTTCTATGTTAAGAATTTTATGTTTCATGAAATACTCATTCTATGTGCAGTAGTCAAAATTTTCCAGAGGCACATAATGGGTGGATTTGACTACCACCCACAGAATGGGTATGTCGTGCATGATAAAAAATATTAAACTATGTATTACGATCTATGTACAAAATGAGTTAAATAACAAGAGTACTGAAAGGAGAGAGGTAGGCTGTGTTTAGTTATTTTGATATGTTTATTATGCCCCCTATACCCATCCTGTGGGTGGAAGTCAAAGGATTACAGAGGTACATAATGGGTCCAGGGACTGGACCCCAAAGTTATGTTAGCTGAACAAGGTACAAAGGTCATGAACTAGGTTGTGTGCAGCATCTCACTGGGCACCTGAACCCAGTGGCGGCGCCCAGGGAAGACTTGGGTATGAATAGTCAGCTCCAAAAAAATATTCCCTCAGCACCCAGATCTCCCAACTACTTTAAAATAAGTCTTATAGCTTTCCCTTACATCCAGGTAGCTACCCGTAAGTTCTCCCAGTATGTGCACTCACGGCTCCCCTGTGGGAGTTCATTGATTCGAACTTGAAGCGTTGACACGTAATTATATTTTTGTTTTGAATTGGATTTTTTAATATATATATATATATATATATATTATATATATATATATATATATATATATATATATATATATATATATATATATATATATATATATATATATATATATATATATATATATATATATATGAGAGAATTTATGTATATTTCAGACTGGCGAAATTCATCGTTCATCTCAACCTGAGCTTTCTAAGATGTTCTACACTTCTCAGTCTGACCTCACGAGGCACACTCGCACATCTCAACCAGAACTTATGCGGTCAAATTGCACATCTCAACCAGAACTTATGCGGTCAAGTTGCACATCTCAGCCGGAACTTATGCGGTCAAGTTGCACATCTCAACCAGAACTTATGCGGTCAAGTTGCACATCTCAGCCGGAACTTATGCGGTCAAGTTGCACATCTCAGCCGGAACTTATGCGGTCAAGTTGCACATCTCAACCAGAACTTATGCGGTCAAGTTGCACATCTCAGCCGGAACTTATGCGGTCAAGCTGCACATCTCAACCAGAGCTTGTGAGGTCAAGTCTGTCATCTCAGCCAGACCTCACTGAGAATATGTACACCTCTTAGCCAAACCTCAGCATTCCCAGCATCACCCAGACCTCACCAGACTGGGCCGCACCTCATTAATTGGCTAGGGTTTCAAAGAACACTACTCTACCTTCCCGAGTAATCTTAATAATAATAATAATAATAATAATAACAATAATAATAATAATAATAATAATAATAATAATAATAATAATAATAATAATAATAATAATAATAATAATAACAATAATAACAATAATAATAATAATAATAATAATAATAATAATAATAATAATAATAATAATAATAATAATAATAACAATAATAACAATAATAATAATAATAATAATAACAATAATAACAATAATAATAATAATAATAATAATAATAACAATAATAACAATAATAATAATAATAATAATAATAATAATAATAATAATAATAATAATAATAATAATAATAATAATAATAATAACAATAATGTCTTTATTTACTACAATTACATGTACCAGGTATACAGTCCTAGCTGACATCAGTGACATACTACTATATAGAAAGCCGCTTGTTATGCAGAGCATTTCGGGCAAATTAGGTCAGTTTTGTCCCAGGATGCGACCCACACCAGTCAACTAACACCCAGGTACCTATTTTTACTGATAGGTGAACATGGTCAATAGGTGGAAGGAAACAGGCCCAATGTTTTTATCCTTGCCGGGAATCGAACCCGGACCCTCAGCGTGTGAAACGAGAGCTTTCCCACCATGCCACGGGCCCCTTGTTATATAGAGTTATACGAAGCCCCAGTTATACAAAGCATTTCGGGCAACCTAAGTTAATCTTGTCCCCCAGGATGTAATCCACACTAATCGACTAATACCCAATTACCTACTTACTGCTAGGTAAACAGGGACAGTACCCCGAGTACACGAAGAGGCTGACAGGGTATTGCTCACCTCAAACTCTAGCACTGTTCTTGCTAAGCAGTGACTTAAATTTCTCTTTCATATATGTTAGTGACATCTATATGAAACAACACATAGAAGGTCAGGCTTTATAAGCTGCAATTTATTAGTGTATATATATCCTTCGAGGGAAGCAGGTACCTGGGTCCTGGTGAAGGACTCTTCATCCAAATAATTTTAGCTACTATCCCATTTCTCGGATTAAAGTTGATTACCTCTCATTTCACAGGCACTTTATGATCCATATGGGATTATCACTTCCGCCATGAATATAATATGATAATCGTTGTATTCGTTGTATTCTGTCTTTATATTATATATATATATATATATATATATATATATATATATATATATATATATATATATATATATATATATATATATATATATATATATATATATATATATATATATATATATATATGATTAAAAATGCAGTAAACTGCATCCATCCAGCAAGCTGTTTATTAAATAATATTTCATCTGTTGTTTTCATTTTTGTTTGGAGAGAGAGAGAGAGAGAGAGAGAGAGAGAGAGAGAGAGAGAGAGAGAGAGAGAGAGAGAGAGGAGAGAGGAGAGAGAGAGAGAGAGAGAGAGAGAGAGAGAGAATGAGAATGACACACCTGGCATAATTAGATAACACAAGACCTTATGGTCAATACTGAGTGTGATAAACCGGGGAAGCTGAAAGTTTCCGTCCTGCAAGGACTACAGACTGACTCACGAAATCGTAATAACACGACTGTAAACAATTCACAGAACGGGTGAGGCTCGAACCCTTGGCAAGCGAGTCCTCAAACTGGCCTGTTAGTTTTAGGATTCACCTGCCATGTGTTCGTGTCCCAACCGTTCTGTGATTTAACTACCTAATGTCTGGGCAAAATGAGGTGAGGGTAATCAGAAGGATCGGTCTATATAGTCGCCAGAGTCTTGTTATTGACCAGACATACTTCTCGGCGTACCTTCGTGATCACCAACGCCTCTTCATTGTCCAGGTGTGGTCTTAAGCGTCCACTTATTGTCCCGGAGTGGTTCCAAGCACCCTCTCATTGTCCAGATGTGACTCTCGGTGACCTTGCATTATCCAGAAGTGGTGCCCAGCGTTCTTTTATTGTAAGAGGTTCTAGGCTCTCTCATTGCCAGGAAGTAGTCCCCGGGCCCTCTCAGGAGTGGTTCCAGCGCCCTTTAGCAAAAGTGATCCCAGCGCCCTCTACCAGAAGTGGTCCCAAAGCCCTCTCAGTACCCTGAAGTGGTCTCCCTGCCCAAGAAGGTCCCCTTTCATTGCTCAGAAGTGGTCTCTAGGACACAGGTCCCCAGCGCACTTTTATTACCCAGAGGTAGTCCCCAGCCCAGGAGTGGCGTGGGTACTGCCCACTCCTGGAGTTGTTAGTTTTTTTAAGTTTAATATGTTTATTATGCACGCCATACCCATCCTGTGGGCGGTAGTCAAAAGATTACAGAGGTACATAATTGGTCCAGGGACTGGACTCCAAAGTTTTGATAGCTGAGCAAGTTACAGAGGTAATGAACTCACAATTTACAAAGGTAATGAACTCACCATTTACAAAGGTAATGAACTCACAATTTACAAAGGTAATGAACTTACAATTTACAAAGGTAATGAACTCCAGGTAGGTCTAGTCACAATCATGGCAAGTTACAAAGGTATTTACAGATTACAGAGGTACGTAATGGGTCCAGGAACTGGGCCCCCAAAGTTTTGCAAAGTTTTGATAGCTGAACTAGGTACAAAGGTAATGAACTCACAAGTTACAAAGGTATTGAATCCTGTAAGAATGGTTGCTTACGTTTATACATGGGCACAATCATGAACAAATTATAGTGTAATGAGCAATTCACACTTCCCCACCCGGTCACAACTCTAATGAGTTATTGGTGCAAATATTGATTGTTGAGTCACACACACACATACACACATACACAAACTCATACACACACACACAAACACACACACACACACACACACACACACTCCTGGAGGTGGAACGTGTTTATCACGAACCCTGAGAAAAGGCAGAAGTCTAGAGAAGCATCCCATTATCTCTCATGGTCGTATTGAGACAGTAAGGCACTTCCTGTTTTTTACACACACACACACACACACACACACACACACACACACACACACACAATGTATATGCTTAATAATTCTCAAACGTGCGAGCTTTTAACAAACATTATCTCTCGGTTCACAGCAGGATTCGAACCCGCACACAATGTATCAAGGAACATAGCACTTTCACCACTCAGCCCTTACAGTGCTATCATAATAATGAGGCGCTAAACCCGTCATGGTTATACGACTGCTGGGGAAGGGGAGAAGAGGCAGTTATAAGGAACGGATCAATTTGCTTAGCGATTAAAAAAATATATTAATTTAGGTTATAAACAGAGGAAAAAATCCTATCAGACTTGTTTCTTCATATATTCTTTCCTCAGCCCACTACTGACAGCCTGGGTCGTTGTCCTGCACACTACTGACAGCCTGGGTCGTTGTCCTGCACACTACTGACAGCCTGGGTCGTTGTCCTGCCCACTACTGACAGCCTGGGTCGTTGTCCTGCCCACTACTGACAGCCTGGGTCGTTGTCCTGCCCACTACTGACAGCCTGGGTCGTTGTCCTGCCCACTACTGACAGCCTGGGTCGTTGTCCTGCCCACTACTGACAGCCTGGGTCGTTGTCCTGCCCACTACTGACAGCCTGGGTCGTTGTCCTGCACACTACTGACAGCCTGGGTCGTTGTCCTGCCCACTACTGACAGCCTGGGTCGTTGTCCTGCCCACTACTGACAGCCTGGGTCGTTGTCCTGCCCACTACTGACAGCCTGGGTCGTTGTCCTGCCCACTACTGACAGCCTGGGTCGTTGTCCTGCCCACTACTGACAGCCTAGGTCGTTGTCCTGCCCACTACTGACAGCCTGGGTCGTTGTCCTGCCCACTACTGACAGCCTGGGTCGTTGTCCTGCACACTACTGACAGCCTGGGTCGTTGTCCTGCCCACTACTGACAGCCTGGGTCGTTGTCCTGCACACTACTGACAGCCTGGGTCGTTGTTCCTGCACACTACTGACAGCCTGGGTCGTTGTCCTGCACACTACTGACAGCCTGGGTCGTTGTCCTGCCCACTACTGACAGCCTGGGTCGTTGTCCTGCCCACTACTGACAGCCTGGGTCGTTGTCCTGCACACTACTGACAGCCTGGGTCGTTGTCCTGCCCACTACTGACAGCCTGGGTCGTTGTCCTGCACACTACTGACAGCCTGGGTCGTTGTTCCTGCCCACTACTGACAGCCTGGGTCGTTGTCCTGCACACTACTGACAGCCTGGGTCGTTGTCCTGCACACTACTGACAGCCTGGGTCGTTGTCCTGCACACTACTGACAGCCTGGGTCGTTGTTCCTGCACACTACTGACAGCCTGGGTCGTTGTCCTGCCCACTACTGACAGCCTGGGTCGTTGTCCTGCACACTACTGACAGCCTGGGTCGTTGTCCTGCACACTACTGACAGCCTGGGTCGTTGTCCTGCCCACTACTGACAGCCTGGGTCGTTGTCCTGCACACTACTGACAGCCTGGGTCGTTGTCCTGCACACTACTGACAGCCTGGGTCGTTGTCCTGCACACTACTGACAGCCTGGGTCGTTGTCCTGCCCACTACTGACAGCCTGGGTCGTTGTCCTGCACACTACTGACAGCCTGGGTCGTTGTCCTGCACACTACTGACAGCCTGGGTCGTTGTCCTGCACACTACTGACAGCCTGGGTCGTTGTTCCTGCACACTACTGACAGCCTGGGTCGTTGTCCTGCACACTACTGACAGCCTGGGTCGTTGTCCTGCACACTACTGACAGCCTGGGTCGTTGTCCTGCACACTACTGACAGCCTGGGTCGTTGTCCTGCACACTACTGACAGCCTGGGTCGTTGTCCTGCACACTACTGACAGCCTGGGTCGTTGTCCTGCACACTACTGACAGCCTGGGTCGTTGTTCCTGCACACTACTGACAGCCTGGGTCGTTGTTCCTGCACACTACTGACAGCCTGGGTCGTTGTTCCTGCACACTACTGACAGCCTGGGTCGTTGTTCCTGCACACTACTGACAGCCTGGGTCGTTGTTCCTGCCCACTACTGACAGCCTGGGTCGTTGTTCCTGCACACTACTGACAGCCTGGGTCGTTGTTCCTGCACACTACTGACAGCCTGGGTCGTTGTTCCTGCCCACTACTGACAGCCTGGGTCGTTGTTCCTGCACACTACTGACAGCCTGGGTCGTTGTCCTGCACACTACTGACAGCCTGGGTCGTTGTCCTGCACACTACTGACAGCCTGGGTCGTTGTTCCTGCACACTACTGACAGCCTGGGTCGTTGTCCTGCACACTACTGACAGCCTGGGTCGTTGTCCTGCACACTACTGACAGCCTGGGTCGTTGTTCTGCACACTACTGACAGCCTGGGTCGTTGTCCTGCACACTACTGACAGCCTGGGTCGTTGTCCTGCACACTACTGACAGCCTGGGTCGTTGTCCTGCACACTACTGACAGCCTGGGTCGTTGTCCTGCACACTACTGACAGCCTGGGTCGTTGTCCTGCCCACTACTGACAGCCTGGGTCGTTGTCCTGCACACTACTGACAGCCTGGGTCGTTGTCCTGCACACTACTGACAGCCTGGGTCGTTGTCCTGCACACTACTGACAGCCTGGGTCGTTGTCCTGCACACTACTGACAGCCTGGGTCGTTGTCCTGCACACTACTGACAGCCTGGGTCGTTGTCCTGCACACTACTGACAGCCTGGGTCGTTGTTCCTGCCCACTACTGACAGCCTGGGTCGTTGTCCTGCACATTACTGACAGCCTGGGTCGTTGTTCCTGCCCACTACTGACAGCCTGGGTCGTTGTCCTGCACACTACTGACAGCCTGGGTCGTTGTCCTGCACACTACTGACAGCCTGGGTCGTTGTCCTGCACACTACTGACAGCCTGGGTCGTTGTCCTGCACACTACTGACAGCCTGGGTCGTTGTTCCTGCCCACTACTGACAGCCTGGGTCATTGTCCTGCACACTACTGACAGCCTGGGTCGTTGTTCCTGCCCACTACTGACAGCCTGGGTCGTTGTCCTGCACACTACTGACAGCCTGGGTCGTTGTCCTGCACACTACTGACAGCCTGGGTCGTTGTCCTGCACACTACTGACAGCCTGGGTCGTTGTCCTGCACACTACTGACAGCCTGGGTCGTTGTCCTGCACACTACTGACAGCCTGGGTCGTTGTCCT